CTATGGTTCTATGAGCAGCTCTCAATCTTTCAGTAAGCCTGTGGCCCCTGGATAGTGAACTTCACAAGTGCGTCTCAGTTCCCCTCTCACACCCCTGGGGGGACAGGATGGCTAGAGGGGGCTGGAATTGGGTATTTCCCTTGTCCCACACGGAAGGCTAGAGGGGGCTGAAGCTCGCTATTTCCCTTTCCCTGGGTAACTTAGCTCTGGTTAAAAAAAAAAACCCAGAAGTGTAGGCTTTGGTTAAATAGCTTCTCCTGAGGGAAGGTCTTTAGAAAACAAAATACGCTGGTACATTTCAAAATGGTTCCTCCTCTCCTCCTCCTGTAGGAAGCAGAGGGAATTTTTCTTCAACAATAATTCTGAGAAACTGGTTGAGATCCAAGAGGTAAAACTCACAAAAGTGTGGGGATCTCCTTATGACTGGGTCCCCCTGGAGTTGTCTAGCTTTCTCAGTTTTTACCTTAAGCCTCCAGCAACTCATCACAGTTCAGCTTTTCGCACCTGATATTGGTTCCTGGGGTGGGGGCTCCAGTAAGTTGTGAATCTCTGCAGTTGCCTGTTGGTTCCACCAATTTGGGGGTGGCAGTCTGCCCTGAGACCTCACTTCTCTTCTGGATCAAAAAAGAGTCACTGATTTCTCAGTTTGTCCAGAGTTCTACTTGTTGTTAGGATGACGTGGTGCCTTCCAAGCTTTTTGCGTGCCTATTTACAAACCAGAAATTCTCTCAACTCTGTCTTTATGCTCTCAGATCTATATGGAGTCACACCTATTACTTTCCCATATTTCCCAACCAGGACATTCCACTCAAAATATTTCAAAGTTATCTAAAATTTTGCTCAAATTAACCACCCCTAGTAGTCAATAAAACCACTTTCTCCCACTCATCCAGGCTGGAATGTTGGAGTTATTTTGGATTTATCACGTGTACATTAGTCTTGCCTTTGTACTTTCTCTTTGTTGATTCATTCTTTGCTACTTTCACTAAGCCCTGGGATGAGAGCAGTAAACAGGTAAGAATGCAGACTTTGGGGCTAAACAGTAAGACTCCTGAGTCTGTCCCATACTCACTGAGGAACCTGGCTTCTGAGCCTTGGTTTTCTCACCTATAAAAAGTAATATAATAGAACTTCATAGGATTGATTTGAAAATTTTGAGTCAATGTAAAGTATTTAGAGCAGTGCCTGGCAAATACTAAATACGTAATAGTTAGCTGCCAGTGTTATCACTATCAGTTCCTTCTTAGGAACTTTTACTCTGGAGAAGACCTCTTAGAATCTAGTCTCCAGCTATTTGCTTCATCTCTTCTCAGTTTCTTATCTACAAAGGATGACTTATAATAATAACTTCCTAATTAAAGTTGAGCTAAACAATGTAAATAAAGCACTAATAAAGTAATCACTCAATAATATTTGGCCATTATTAGTGATATAATGTGATGATCAATAAAAGTAATACTGTCCTACAGAAGGTCACCATAGAGTCTTCATGGTTAAACAACTATGTTCAATTGTGTAGATTGCACCTTTCCCTGGTACATATTTTTCATATTATTGAAATTATGGATTTCATACCATTTTGCATCAGTTTAAAATCATTATGTTTTTGTTTCTGCATCATCTCAAAAATAATTATTTGCATAGTACTTCATCTTGATTCATATTCATATTTCACAAAAACATTCAGATTATTGAAATTTGGAACTCAGAAAAGTGCCAGGAACACCTGTATGACTTTGCCTTAATGCTTCTCTGAGATTATGTCCCGACACCTTTCACAAGGAATCTATGAACAAATATTTTAAACATTCTATACAATATCTTTATGTCAGGATCAGGGATCAAAGTTGCCAAAATATTTTCTAACTTAGGGAAAAAGGAGATAACTTTAACTCCCTCACCAACTTAGGCTTCAACATCAAAGTAAAATGTTAACTAAATACTTGATTTATGGGCAGATTAAACACACTGCCATAGCAGCTTAAATGTTTCTCCATTACTAACCTCCCTCTTTACCCTGCCTAAACCCCAAGATATTTGAAAGCTATAAGATGATTTATGCCTCCAAGAGAAGACTTACATCTTTTTCCTTTCCAGGTATCTTTTAAATAAACATTAAGAATATTGCTTTGCCTAGTCAGTTGGTCTACAAAATAAGGAATTTAGACTGGACGATTTTTGAGCTGCTTCCTAAAGTGTTCTTCCTCAGGACTTATAACATCTGGGGGCTATTTTGTGGATAGAAAACTGAATGTCTTACATAAAACCTGTTCTGCCCTGCTTTCTTTTTATAAAGTAATGGAAAGAATGTGGGTTTCTGAATTGGGACACATGTGGCTTAGGATTCTGCCACTGCCACTTCCCAGCTCCACGATACCGCTGGAGATGGTGTAGCTCTCTTCAGCTGCATAAGCTCAACCCTCTTTCTTTAACTGATCGTTTCATGGCTGGACACCTGATATAGACCAAATGTTTCTGTTCCCCCAAATTTCATGTTTGAACCTAATCTAATCCCCAATATGTGGTATTTGGAAGTGGGGCCTCTGTGAGGTGATTAGGGCATGAGGGACAAGCCCTCAGGAGGGAGATTAGCACCCTTATAAAAGAGGCCTAGAGAGTGCCCTTGCTCCTTCCACCACGTGAGGACACAGTGAAAAGATGGCCATCTATGAACAGGAAATGGGCGCTCACCAGACACAATCTGCGAGCACCTAAACCTTGGATTCCTCAGCCTCCAGAACTGTGACAACTAAATGTTTGTTGCTTAAACTATCCAGTCAGTGAAATTCTTGTGGTAGCAGCCCAGATGGACTAAGACAACATCTGACCCAAGTGCTTGACAGACAGACTTAGGTTAAAAGATAGAAGCATTAGGCCCAGGCTGTATTCTGATTGAGACAGAGAGAGAGAGAGAAGCAGAGATGTGGAATAGTCAGTTATCCCTGGTACTCCTCTTTGTTAAGGCATACCACTCACTTCTTGTCCTTCGATGCTTATGTAATTGCCTATTATATTTATACCACAAAACTCTTACTAACACCAACCTGAGTACTTTGCTGTTCTTGAAGCCAACATTTATGGCTTAAAAAGGACAGTTAGGAATCTATAATTTCTGAGTTTCTCTTGTCTCATCTGTAAAATGGGAATAATAATAGCATGTTCCTTGTGGGATTGCTCTGAGGATTATATGTGATAATGTATGGAAACCTCCCAGCAGAGTTCCAGAAACATAGTAGGTGCTCAGTAAATTGTGCCCATTAGCTTCCTGTAAATTTATGTCTCATAAATAAACCACCAATTTATTAAGAACTTAGGTTATTTCTGATACCCTACTCCTCCATCAACCTATAAATACATCAGTCCAATGAGTCTTGGAAATTGCTTGGGATATATGAGTCTCGTGATATTACCGAAAGTCTCTGAAAAGTAGTCAGACTCCCTTTCTTTGCACTGCCCTCTTCCACAGGTTAGGGAGGGGGAGGGTGGTGGCCATTCTCTAGAAGTGGTGCCTATTCAATGATCATAAGACCACAATAAGACGGAGGAACATTCTCACCTCTCTGTTGGGTGGATATAGTGGAGCCCTAGTATGACTCTCTACACCTGCATAAGTAAAGTTGGAAACAGATAATAGTGTTCCCTTGACCGTTTCAGAGAAATATATCCTTTTTGTTAACATATACATGTTTACAGACTATGTCTAATTAAGTCGTTGAATGCACTCTGTCCCCCAAGTGTTGGTAAAAGACTTGAGGTTTATTAAAAATCAAACTCATGTTCTCTTCTCATACTCGTGGCATTGAACAAAAAACAAAGGAGACGCACAGTGAGTTTTTTTTTGACTAATTGCCAAAATGATCATTATTCAGTTTCTAACTTAAATGTCTTCACTCTGCAAAGCCTCCTCTCAATCCTTCAGTCAGAATGCCCTCTCTCTGATAGAGAACATCCAAGATGATCTAACTTGGTTGCCTGTATCATTTTCCCCCATAGACTGAGCTCACTTTGATGGATAATTCATTGTAGCTAATATTTATTAAAGGTTGTCCTATTTGTCAGGCTCCCTGATAAGTGCTTGAAAAGGATTATCTTGTTTGTTCATCAAACAACCCCTTCAGATGGTACTACTATTCATCTACATTTTACTGATAAGGAAACATCAGATAATGAGTTGAAGTTCATATACCTAGTGAGAATAGGGACTGGCTGAACCCAAGGCCATGGAATTCCCACTGTCCCATACTGCCTCTTGGTATGGGTAGAGGCCATATCTTATCCATCACTATCACCCCACTGTACTCACCTAAGGGTCTGAAACAGGGAAGTTCTCAGTCAGTGCTGATTGGTATTGAGTGGCACAGAAATGCAACTGATTGGTGCCTGACTTCTCTGCTGTGAAGAGGGGGACAGTGCTGCAACAGACACATTCCTCGGGCTGGTAGCTATCTCTGTCCTATGTCTTTGTGCGGCTTTCTTCCTTCTCCTTTCTAACTGCATCATATGGATTAGAAGTTGGAGCTTAGCTGAACACTCTGTGTGGAACTGAGAGAGGAGAAATATGAAACCCCAAATTAAAGATACACAGAGAGAGAAATATTTAACCTAATGAAATCAAGTTGTTACCTGAAGTTGACCTATTGCAAACAAAGTTAACATCTGAGTGCTGGCTCACTGCCCTTTTCTTCCTGATTTGGCTTAGCCTAAGAATAAGCTGATGGGCATGGCTTAAAGATCCCAGATCACATGTGTAGAATTGGGCATTGCTCAAGAAAACAAATATCTGTGCACTGTATCTGCTGTACGTACTTAAGCAGAGAACAGTCTGCAAGAAGCAAGAATTCACATCTCCTGGCCTGCAGAGAAAACAGAAACATGAGCACAGCAGGAAAAGTAAGGAAAAAAAATTTTTATTTTTGGAATTATATTCTAATTAATGTAATAAACAAAGATATAGTATGATATCAATGATTTAAAATTCCTGTATGAATTAGAAATAATATATACTGAAATATAACATAGAATATATGTTTTAATATATGGATATTAAACTACAATTGATAATATTTGTAATAATAATATGTAACCTCTATACCTATTAAAGTCTATGTTCCTATATTAAATACATGTGCAGTAGTTACAGCCAGTCATGAGTAATTTGCTATCTAAAGTTAGGAAAGAAAGGTTTTTAATCAAGAAGTTATCTTATATTAAGAAAGTTATCTTTATATTAAGAAATCCTAATTTAAATGAGTTATTCTTTGTAATCATTTTTTTATGAATATAGGAAAGTAAAGTTGACAAAAAGTGTATTGCTCTCAAAGCACTAGAATCATCAAGACTAAGCAAACCAACATCAACATGCAAATTCCAATTTAAAACGGTCTTATTAGGGCACAATTCAGGAAATTTCCATGGAGATCCTATAGAGCAATATCTTCTTCATATAGAACTCAATGTGATTTCACACACACACACACAAATGATACTGACTGAGTTTGAATCAGTTATTAGCACTGGAAACAGATACATTTGATTCTAACTCTTCCACAGATTCATGCTTAGTTGTTCAGTGTGCTTACAGGTGCAGAGACATGCACATAGTCATTCAATACAATCAATTCATCTTGTTTACCTGCTTCATGACAAAAGCCTATGTAACTGTTTCCAGTAGGTTTGTTGTGTTAGGAGCAGATCACACAATATACTATCTCTCTAGGATACCTCAAGTGAAAGAAACTGAGGTTTCTACACACTGTGTGACACAGCAGGCCTATAGCAGTATGACTGGCTGGAGATCATATGGGTGACCCACTGTCAGTTCTCATTCCAACTCTCTTTTCATCCATTACTGATGAGCATCTACAATGGCATATCACATTCCAAATGAAGAATGCACCCAGGACCTTGTGCATACTAAGCATGTACTCTACCACTTGAGCTATACCCTCCCCACCTACCCTCAATCTTAGGAAAAAGAAAAATTAAATTTGCCAAAACTCAGGTTAAGAGAAATAATGAATGAGTTCAGAGAGCAAAAAGGTAAACCAAACGTATTAATGAAAATTATAAATTATGGGCAATCAATCCTCCCCTCTCAGGTGCAACATCGATAACGTTTAGCTTTATGATAACATTTCATTTGTTTACCCTTCCTGCATTGTATTTTCTTCAAATGCTACATGACAACAGGAAACATACATACTTCATAAGGTGGTTGTGAGAATTTAATAAATTAATACTGGAAAGCATTTAAAATAGTGCCGGGTACAAGAAATAATTTGAGGAGTATTAGTCACTGCTGTTATTGTTATCTAGCCTCAATGTTTTTGGGGGTTTTTTTGTTGTTTTTTTTTTTTTGAGGGGGAAGATTATTTAGTTGTTTTTAGAGGAGGTACTGGGGATTGAACCCAGGACCTTGTGAGTGCTAAGCATGTACTCTGTTACTTGAACTATACCCTCCCCACCTACCCTCAATCTTTTGTTAATCTTTTACTACCATGGAGTAGTGAAAAGATAAAGTTGGACTGATATTAATTCTCTGGACAGCCAGCTTTGTGACTTTGGGAAAGTTACTCAATTACAGAGTCAGTTGAGCCTCAGTCTTTTCATCTGTAAAATAAGACTAATGATTCAATAACACTGCCCTGTAAAGTTTAAAAGTCAAGCATATAACTCACGCAGCACAGTCACTTGTGCCTGCCCCCATCATAGACAGGTGCTGATTATTGGGTGCCTACCATTGCTGTATTATTTTCAAGTACTCTCATATTTACTGAGGCACTGACCATGACAAACACTCTGCAAAGTGGGAGGATTTGGCATATAAATAATGACAATGGATTGATGAATTGTCAGATAAACTTCCACTGAATTTTTATCATATTTGCAGTATGTCAATTCTTCCTAGAAAAAAACTCTCAACTATACAAACTTTGTGAAAATGAAGACAGGTCTTATACTATATTGCCAAGCACTAAAAATATGTGTTCAACTTTATTTTTAAGAATATCTGTAGGTGAGCTATGCTAGATAGAAAGTCAAACACATAGTTCTCCCATTTTTAAATGTGTATGTGGGTATGTGTGTGTACAGCTTGAACTTCTGCAATTATTGGCTCAAGTCCCATCTGAAAGAAATCTCTATACATACATTAGGTAATAAAACAGAGCTGCCAAAGCTACGTTCAAATGAGTGGTGCAAACAGGTAGCACACAGAAACAGTGGAGGGAGAAAATCAGCGGATGAGGACAGGCAAATAGAGAAAGAAGTCATGCGAGGCGGGGAGGCAAATATGCAGATGGAATCATAAAGTCACATCGTTTTGGCTTAAGTGGAGAATTGAGCAAGAGACAACCAGTTTCATGTGAACGAACAGTGAGTCTGTCAGGAAAACGGTAGTGATTTAGAACTTCATGTACAGCCAACAGTTTGGGGTAAATACACAATATCAGGACCGCATTAGGAAACAACAGCAATAAACAACCCTTGGAGAGAAAAACAACATGAAGTTCTTTCTTCATAAAAGACTATATTCCATTTTATCTCATTGTCTCACTATGGTTAATTCTGTTTCTCTTCCTTATGTTATTGCTTTATACATTTCTTATAAAAAGTATTTTATATATATATATATATATATATATATATATATATATATATATACACACACACACACACACATACATTTATTTATTTGTTTATTTATTTATTTATTTTTGCAAATCAGAGGTTGTTAATTTCTGTGGAACAATGTTAGGGTCCAGGCGTGGAGTGAGATGTTGCACATAAAAAGATGAAAGACGTAATCCCTAACTTCAAGAGTGAGGAAAAACTGGTATCATCTTTCTGTTCAATTTCCAGGTAATAAAATGCAAAGCGGCTGTGCTGTGGGAGCTTAAAAAACCATTTTCCATTGAGGAGGTGGAGGTTGCACCTCCTAAAGCCCATGAAGTTCGTATTAAGGTAAGATTTTTTCCACCTCTATTTAAGTTTAGGGTGGAAATTTTCAGAGAATAGTAACAGTCAAAATAACCAAAATTTAATAAGAGGCACATTTTTATATAGTCATCCAGACAGTGGGATTACAGTTGTTGTCAAAGAAAGATGTAAATATAAATTGTCAAATTTTTAAAAAGACATCAAAGAGTATATAAACTATAATCTTAATAAAATAAAACAGAATCTATGTGCTTGACAGAAAAATATGCAAAGGAATATATATTAGGATTTCAAAATTAATTAGCATTAGATGGTGGAACTTGAGTAAATTTATGTTCTTGGTGCTAACCTGCATTTTCTACTTCTATAATAAGGGATGCATTCTTGTATAGTATATAAGACTTCAATATTTCAGAAACAATTATTTCACACAATATTTCAAACTGTTTAATGCACAAAATGAAAGTAAAGGAGGGTTTTAGGTTCAATAATCCTGTGTATAAACTGAAACTGTACTTGGAAAGAGCAGGAATTATTAGCAAAATTCTTGAAAACTCTTTAGTACAATTGAGTATTAAGTCTATGCAAGGGCCATGATCTTTTCAGAGTCTAACCACCCTCCCTTTACCCTGTAGATGGTGGCCACAGGAATCTGTCGTTCAGATGACCATGTGGTTAATGGAACCTTGGTCATGCCTCTTCCTATGATCCTAGGCCATGAGGGAGCCGGCATTGTGGAGAGCATTGGAGAAGGGGTGACTACAGTAAAACCAGGTACAGCATTCACACTTGGGGAATGTGACTTGGTTTAGGACCCCAGGATCATCCAACCCGGATGATAACCCAGAATTGATGACAGGTGCAGTAATGAGAGATGAAAGACCTTGTTCACGGAGGAGCTGGGACTTGAAAAAAGGTCTCTTCCTTTCCTGCCTCCCTGCCTGACTCCGGTACATGTGCATTCATGCACTCGTGTCTTCTCTCCTCCAGCAAGTATTTACTGAGGGCCTGCTAGATGTCAGGCACCATGTTAGATCCTGGGAATACATAAGGATCAAAAGAGATGCAGTGTTTGCCAGAGTGGAATCTGCATTTCCATTTTAGTGTTTCTGAGCCCTGTTATGTATTGGATCCAAAGAGAACTACAAATGAGACAAGAGATAAAAACCTGTCTATCTCCTGAGACTCTAGATCAGTGTATGGAAACTGTGTACTGACTTCATACAATGAGGCCTGTGAGGCTACGACTGAATCAACATATAATCTCTTCTTAGGTGGGAAGTGGAGCCCATTCACTGAGCTTCCCCTTCCAATATGGCCTCCTTTCTTGAATACAGAATGAATGAAATAGATGAGTTGGCAGGAAATGAAGGAAAACTAGCAGAAGGCATCCTGCCATAAACAGTATCTGTTTTAGTACCTTTAATCATGATTAACTATGACTGGTTACCTAGTACTATTTTATCTTTAATATTTATTGTACCCTAATGCTATTGTATTTTAATGCAGATAAATATTTTAAAGGTATACAATAAATAAATACAAAATTTCCATGCCATCATCTCATATAAATTTTATCTATTAAATGTTATTTTTCTGGGTCTTTTACATAAATAGCATAGATGATTAAAAATTATATATATATATATATATATATATATATATATATATGTTTAATTCTAAAAAAAATCACTTTACTCAGTAGGTTTGACCTACCCTCTTGGCAAATATTAATTGACCTGTGAACAGAAAATAATAACTTGTCTGGTTTGAGTTTCAGCTTTTAGTATTTCTTTTAGTTAGAAATCAATTAATAATAAATGACACCCTTACTTTTTACCCCTGCTCCCTCCACCATAGCAGTAAAATTAGATAATTCACAAATTATCAGCTACAAATATTTGAAAGTCAGTTCTTATCCTAAAAGTGTTTAACTCATAACTGAGGGTTGAGGTTTTCAATGAAATTTCTTAAGTTCTTATTTATCCCATTTTTGTTAGTGTCCATTAAAAAATGAAAATTAAAAAAAAAAAGCACTCACTTCATAGAACACATAAGCATAATCACTTTGAAAAGCCAAGAAACAGTTGTTGAGATTCTCATTTTCACTGTATCCAAACTATTACAAAATACTGGGTCACCTAGTGGAACTATGGTGATCTGCTCACAACTTAAATTTACATTTATACTTACAGTATGAATATTTACATTTTAATTATTCAAAATTAAATGAGATGATACATATAAAACCCCCAAGAGAAAAGTCATACAATAAAAGATAAATATTAATACAGTGGAGCTACTCTGAAAAATCCATGCTGTTTTCCACATTTGCATTTCCTCTTTGGGCATCCTCAGGCATATAGAAACTCAATACTCAGCTATGCTGGCAGGCAATAGCCAAGGCAGACTGGTGACCGGACCCTACTCTTGGAGAACTGTCAAATTCAAATGCCTCTAACACAGACGTGTAAGCTTTAAGTTCTTGCACTAATAATGCTTAAGAAGAATCTGTTTTATCCCCTTCCCCAGGTGATAAAGTTATCCCACTCTTTGTTCCCCAGTGTGGAAAGTGCAATGTGTGTAAACATCCAAAAGGCAACTACTGCTTGAAAAATGAGTAAGTTTCATATACTCTCCTTACACAGCCAAGGAATCTGCACATCAGTTATGGTCTTGTCTCATATTTTCTTTTTTTTTAACATTCTTTTTATTGAGTTATACTCATTTTACAATGTTGTGTCAACTGTCTCATACTTTCTTATGTCTGTGTGTTGTACTAACCAGTGTGACCAATCCTCGGGGGACCCTTGTGGATGGTACCTCCAGGTTCACCTGCAAAGGGAAGCCCATCCACCATTTCCTCGGCACCAGCTCCTTCAGCCAGTACATAGTGGTGGATGAGATCTCAGTGGCCAAGATCAATGCAGACTCACCGCTAGAGAAAGTCTGTCTCATCGGCTGTGGATTTTCTACTGGTTATGGGTCTGCAGTCAATGTTGCCGAGGTAGGAATAACAATGGTGATAAAACTAGCTACACTCGGACTGTCAGGGACCAAAAGGAAAGCAATTTCTCATAGGAATCGAGATCATTTTTCATAGTTTTACTGGTAGCTTTCCTCCCACACCTGCTACCATTAAAACATTGATATGCTCCATAGAAGTGAGGGTGCTGATAAGTAGAAAATGCCCTTAGAAGGAATTGAGAGCATGTCCTAGAAAATTTATCTGTTTATCACAAATGCAAAAGCTGTTGATACTTAGTTAAGAAAAACTAAAGGTGTTTTTTTCAATAATTCTTCCATGCGTGTTCTTTATGGGATTACTAAATTTTAGAGCTGGGAGCCCACTTTGACTTTCATTTTGCAGCTAGCACCAACTTGCACCACGTGCAGTAGGTCCTGCTACGTTTTGACAGCAAACATAAATGAAACGAAGGGGTTGCTTTTGAGGAGCATCTAGTTAGTCCATGGATCCTCCACTCCCAGAATTAGGATCAACATTAGATTCCAAAGCCTTACCTGATATGATATGCCTCCAAACCGAGGGCCATCAGCGTACCCACTTTGTGGATCTCTGAGGAAAGCAGAGAAGCTTCAGGGATGCATGAAGCATCTATTCCACTGCTATACCTCCTCCCTTGCCATGAACACACACACAAACACACACACACACACACTTCAGAAGTGGTAGATTTTAAGGATAACTTCTCTAAAGGCTCCTCTTTCTGAAAGGTTGGAAAAACAGTAATATTCTTTCATTTTATGAAATTGAGGCCCAAAGACATAAAGCTATTTGCCACAAATATCACAGTTGGTTAGTATGAGAGCTGCAACTTGCCCTGCTCCCAAAACTCCTGCTGAATCATAAACCGTAATACACAATGACCAGCACTTTTAAATCATAATCACAAGCCTCATACTTTTCTAAGGTAAAAAAGTGCTGTACCCCAGAGAATGTTTCCTTGGGACAGGAGGAGCATTTTACCCATGGTGAAGGCTGACTATAGTAGATTACATTTATTAAACAGCCCCTAAGCCAAGTTAAACCACTGAGAGAATATGTTTTCTACATTTCTGTGATGACCACAAAGTCGCTCCTGCAATTGCATCAGCAAAGAAGGTGGTCTACTTCAGCCTACACACAGAGCAGAAGCTGGGGGCACTTGTGATAATGAATTTCATCCATTATTAAAGTATAGACAAGCTTTTCATTGATTTATTGTTCATTGGTACATTTTAAAAAGCAAGGATAAAATGCACTTAAGACACATTGGTCTCAAGCTGTTTTATCTTGAAATTACCTGTTAAATTTCCCCTGTTGTTAAGATTGCTTTAAGCTGAGGAGACTCTCCTAAGCTTCACAGCTAATTTCTGCTCTCATTATACTGGTCATGACTACCGCAAGTTAATGAACCAGGCTGTTAATTATTGAGGTTTCAACTGGATTATTTTTTCAGTCTCCTCTTTTCCACTTATTATTTCATTTCCCAAAAGCTGTGTTTGTGTATGCATGGTGGACTGAAGCTGGCTATCCATGCAGTTGAGCCACTAAACTCTCCTCAGGATGGGAGTCACTAGCATTAACAGCTCAAAGATCATCCGGTCCACTGGCTCCCAGCCTGGGTTTTCCACTGGAATTAGCTACGGACTGGATGTTACCCGTAGAGATTCTGCTTTAATTGGTTATGGGCTGTGACCTGGGCATTGAACTTTTTTGTAAAGCTCCCCAGGTAAGTCTAATATTCGGCAAAATTTGGGGATCACTGATCTAATTCAACCCCCTCATTTTAAATACAAAGCAGCTGAAGTCAAGAAGTGGCGACAACAGGTTGTGTCGAGTTTGAGTAGCTTCTGACAACAGAGAAGGCATGGCATTGCATACAATTTAGCCTCTTTCTAACAATCGTTGCTTAACCTATTTGTGCATTTTCTGAAAACACAGGTCACCCAGGGCTCCATCTGTGCCGTGTTTGGCCTTGGAGGAGTTGGCCTGTCTGTTATCATTGGCTGTAAAGCAGCCGGAGCAGCCAGGATCATTGCGGTGGACATCAACAAAGACAAATTTGCAAAGGCCAAAGAGGTGGGAGCCACTGAGTGTGTTAACCCTCATGACTATGACAAACCCATCGAGGAGGTGCTGAAGGAAATGAGCGGTGGAGGTGTGGATTTTTCATTTGAAGTCGTTGGTCGGCTTGACACCATGGTACGTACCCTGAAAAGCCTTGAGGATTTGCCTCCGCATGCTGAAGTCAGCTTTTAAGCAGCAGAATAGAAACATTATATTTAAAGAATATATTTAAAACTATGGCCATTTTCTACCTCCTATTTGTTGCCTGGAGTGCTTAGTTTATTATAATGAGGAATCTTCCATCCCATCAGCTAAGCAGAACTGTCACAAGGTATTATTTCCTTTTTTAGAGAGAAAAGAGGTTTGTTTTTTTCAATTGAACCATTATAAATTTACTCTGTTTTTAGCTTAAAAAACTCAAACTCAAGTAAATATAAAGAATACAAATTCTATTCTCAAGTTGACAAGGTTGATATTCTTCTCCCCACATTCCTAACAAAATGTCTTTACACTTTTTATATGTTTTCATAAATACTTATTTTTTTCACATGTACTTTGGCCAAAAGAAAAAGTGAGCAACTTCAGGCTCTGTGTCATTTTACTAACAGAAAATATGCCCCATTTCTCCATAGCAGACAGCACAGTGTCTGCACATAATAAGCATCCAAATCCGTCTGTTGAACTGAATATTTTAAAAGTCAACAAGTTTCTCCACCAAAAAAGAAGTGATACATATCTCATAGACTTGTTTATGAATTACATGCCATAACACATGTAAAATACTTAGCACATGCACTTGTCAAGAACTAACTTACTGAGTGTCAGCTGGTATTACCGACAATGAAGGACCATTTCCAAACTTGCAGTGCTTACGTTATCTGTGGAATATACACATTACTTTCAAATAATGACAGATATCATCATGCAGTGGAGAACCAATCTCCAGCTATATTCTACCTAACAAGTATTCTCTACAGTCCTAACGAAAAAAATTCCCAGAGACCAACAAATTCCATTTTGAGGTTCTCCGGTAAGCCTTGGTAATAGAAAGCAGCACCTAAAGAGTAAAGCTCTTTTCAGCCTTGTCTTGGGACAACAGGCCTTAGATGACTGAAGTTCTAAGACAATCCAGTTGGTCCAGGACCATAGCCTTTCTCCTGATGCCATTTTTCTATGATTTCCCCTCCATTTTCTCAGTGGTATTGGATTGTTTTATTTGAAGACACCAAATATCTGATAGCCACAAGTTCTGAGGCTCTCTGGTCTTCCAAATGTCATACTACAAAATTAAAGGATTGATTATTATATCTTCCTGGGGGATCCTAAACAATTTTCTTACTACAAACATGTTTAAAAACCTGACTGGAGGGGAAAGGCTTTCTTTGGAAGTTCCAGAATAATAGGTGTAGTTTACAGTAAAATTATATGGGAGGTAAAAGCACATTTAAAACATGCCCATTTTAGGCCAACGGCTATATGAAAAGGTTCTCAATGTCACCAGTCACTGGGGAAATGCAAATCAAAACCACAAAGAGATATTACCTCAAATCTGTCAGAATGGCAGTTACCAAAAACACAAGCAATGGCAAGGTAGGGGAGGGTGCAGAGAAAGGGAGCTTTTGTGCACTGTTGGTAAGAGTATACACTGGTACAACCATTATGAAAAGCAGTCTAAAAGTTCCTCAAAAAATTTAAGATAGAACTACCATATGATCCAGCCATCCCACTTCTAGCAATACAGGCAATGAAAATAAAACCACTATTTCAAAGAGGTATCTGCACCCCTACATTCATTGCGGCATTATTCATAATAGCCAAGATATGAAAACAACCTAAATGTCCACTGATGAATGAATGGATAAAGAAATTGTGACTGATGTATGTAATTCAGTCATAAAAAAGAAGTCCTGCCATTTGCAACCGCGTGGGACAATCTGGAGGACATTAGGCAAAGTAAAATAAAGCAGACACAGAAAGACAAATATTATATGACCTCACTTATATGTGGAATCTAAAACAATCAAACTCTTAGAACCATTGAGTAGAACAGAGCTGGCAGGAGGCTGGGAGGGGTGGGGTGGAGGAACAGGGGTGAAGCATAATGGGTCGATGTGCTACAAACTTTCAGTTATGAGTAAGTTCTGGGGACTTACATATACAACATGGTTATTATAGTTGATAGCACTGTATTATATACTTCAAATTTGCTAAGAGAGTGGATCTTAAGTGTTCACATTACAAAAACAGTAACTAGCGGCTATGTGAGGTGATGAATGTGTTCATTAACTTGATTGTGATAGTCATTTCGCATTGCATGTGTATTTTAAACCATCATATCGTACCCCCTAAAAATTATATTGTACACACTAAAACAAATAACTTTTAATTGTCAGTCATACTTGGACAAAGCTGGGGAAAAATAAAGTGCATAAATCAGAAAAAATTGTCCATTTTAGAAATGGCAGTAGAATCGGGATCCATGAAAAGGGGAGACCATCAAGCAGAGAAAACGCAAACCTTGATGGCGTAATTGACCTTGTATCTAGTTCATCACCAAAATACCTGATTCAAAGTACTGAGTTCAAAATATCTACTTAATAAATAAAGAAAAATGAGTTAACCAACTCTGGTTGCCTAGAGCTCATGTGATGATAAACATTACCTTTATTTGAGGAATCAGATTATATATACATATAATTACATATTTATGTACATAAATATATAAAGATATGTGCCTCTTTATTATTTTCAGGGAGAATTAAGTGTATACAAACATACATATTCATTTATCTATTGTCTCATTCAAAAATATTTTCTGGTCATCTTCTAAAGCCCCAGCTAGTGGCTTTAGGAAATAATGGGGAATAAAGAAACAAAAGACATCATCTCTTCCCTCCACACACCAGCAAGCTAGCTAGGTCAGTAATACATGATACTGTGTACCACAAATGGGGACTACCAGAGAATCCACTTTAATGATGCTACATGTGAATTTATTCCAGAACTCTGCCTTGTTGTGCTGTCACGAAGCATATGGCGTAAGCGTTGTTGTAGGAGTGCCTCCTAATTCCCAGACTCTCTCTGTGAAGCCCATGTTGCTGTTGACTGGACGTTGCTGGAAAGGAGCTGTTTTTGGTGGTATGTAGCTAGGTTTGAAGGCCAGACTCTTACCAAACTCAGGATTTCTTCCCTTCCCTAGGTTTTAAAATGCAATGTGGTTAAAAAATTAATTCCTCTGTATCTATTGGCTCCAAATCAACTAGATGTGGAACTAATGCACACAGAAGGTCCCTAGGTAGACTTTTCTGGTGTCCCCATTGACTAGGAACTTTTAGCATCATCTCTTTTGATACTTGTAACTGCACAACTCAACTGAAATACCTAGTAAGACCCAGGAAATCCATAGCAATAACTCATGTCTACACTCACTGCCCAAATTTAGACAATTGCTAAGTTTTCTTCCTGACTTTGGGAATAACTATCTGTACTATAATTTCTCTAGGAGACAACTAATAACCAAGACCCTAGTTTGTATTGGAGGATTTTTTTTTAAGTCAAATGCCTGCAAAAGGATACTGAAGGACACTATCTCTTATTAACCTGAGTAATTGTAATCCGTGGACTTTATCAACTTTCATTTAAATTCTACTTGGAAAGTCTCTTCCCCAATTCTCCTCTTATCCCTGGCTGAATCTAACACTGATATCACTTTCTTTTCAGGCTTTAAAAGTAAGGAGTCTGTCCCCAAACTTGTGGCTGATTTTATGGCTAAGAAGTTTCCACTGGATCCATTAATAACCCATGTTTTACCCTTTGAAGAAATAAATGAGGGATTTGACCTGCTTCGCTCAGGAAAGAGGTAGATTTTAAGTTTCTCTTTATGCTGGGGTTTGACTAACAGAGAAAAAAAAACGTAGAAGGATAAGAGAAAGGCTAGGTTTCCATTCCCAGTTCAACCTTTGCATGTAGCACATTTAAGAGCATATTGTGAGAAGCTAAAATGTTTTGCATTTCCTGTTGGGCTGAAAACAAACTGATGATGGTTACATCAAATCTGAATGATCAGCACCCTCTGCTTTCTTTACAAGAGAACTCTCACCTTTGCAAGGAAAAATAATCAGAGCTACATGGTCATGTTATATAACATGGAGTTACTGCAGCCCCTGTCTGGCCACCTGAAACAGTTGACTATTAATAGCTATAAATTTAAATTACATTCAAGATATCTCAGAAACTCATTATGGGAGTTGGTGGAGCTAGCTATATTGGCATTATTTTCTATACAGCTTTTTATTTTCATAAAATCCTATTATTGTTATTTCTTTTTTCCATTTACGAAGAATTTCTCGCAAGTAAAACTTGTTACAAAGAGGAAGGGTACAAAATGCTACTTTCCATGTTTACATCTTACACTTTTTTGAAACTTAGCAAAATAAGCCAGTTCCATTTTCTATTTCTAACATGTAACTTTTCCAACTGCCTGAAAAAGAAGAATTTTGTCACTTGCATTTATACGAGAGGCACAATTAGTAATAGGCAGTTTTACCTAATTCCCACCTTCTAGTTCCATGGTCTGTGCTTTTTCTGCAATTTCACACTTCTTCTCATGAGGTTTTCAGCTTTAAACAGTATTTCTGAAGTACTCATACACATAACATATACTAGACACTTTGATAAAGATTATTGAGGGAAGAAAGAAACTAGCGACTAGAAGAGCACCAGATTACATCCTTTCTAGAAAGCAGTTTGGTAATTTTTATCAGAAACCTTAAAAAAAAATACACTTAGATCCTATGTCCCAGCAATTCCATTTCTGGGAATGTAGTCTACAGAAATCATCAGCTATGTGAACGCACATCTATTTAAGCATGTTCATCTAAGTCTCTAATCACCCTCTAAGACTAATCCCTCTGAGTCTCAGTATCCACAATCTCTACAATAGAAATAATATCAGAACTTGCCTTGTAGCAGTGTTAAGGTTTAAATGATTAAATATATGAAGAGCATCTAGAGAGAAGGTGACAAATGGCATGAAGTTGTTGCATGTCATCACCCATTGTTTTATATTCATTATTATACAAGGCATATGGGCTCTCAAAAATGATTTTGGGGGAGTGGGGCATAGCTCAGTGGTAGAGTGTGTGCTTAGCATGTGCAAGGTCCTGGGTTCAATCACCACTACCTCCATTAAAAAAGAAAATGATTTTTTGATAATCTAATATACAGTGAAGCTTAAATGACAGTCATATTCAGGATGCTATAGTTGAGCTTAAGTTTGGAGAAAACACAACAGAAAAAGATGAGCTGCCTTTTTACTTGACTTGAATGCATTAGGAATGGGAATGGAGTAGCAGGAAACAAGACAGCTTTTCAAAGGGACAAATTGAATGTTCCTTGTACTCACATGGAAGAGTGTAACTTTTCTAAACATGACAACAATTAGTATCTTTAATTTTCTCTTTCAGTATCCGTACCGTCCTGACATTCTGAGACCGTACAGGTGACTTCACTTGTAGCAGTCTTCTGGCTCCTCCATCATCAGAAACATCAGCCAAACATCGTCAATAATTCTATTCCTCAGAGATGCTACTAATAAATTACATATGGGAGCCTTCCAAAAGAAATCAAAATTGATGTAAAATTATCTTTCAAACAAATGTTTAAAATTCAAGGGAGAGCTAGATGAACTATCATTTGGGTAACTGAGTCCAACAAACATTCCTTCTTAATCATTCTACTCATGCTGAATCATGTCATCTTTCCCACTGAGGAAAGCTATTTCTTTTGATTTCTTGTCCTTTTGGTATCTTTACCACCCTTAGTCATTGAAGCCTTAGTCACTGAGAAGGTCTTCATTATGCTTGTCCCCCAACATACAAATCATGGGCTGTTGTGCTAAAAGTCTTCCACCTGTATTTCCACTGTCTGTATTTTCCTTTTCATGAAATGGAGCAAAACTATACAGTAAAAACTGCAGTCTGCAAAAGGATATACTCAGATTTATAAGTGAAGAAGGTCCAGAACATCTAAATATAGGACATTTCTTAGGGAAATGTCACATATTTTGAAGGTAAAGAAAGCGGTTTTAGTGCTTTTATACTGTTTGCAGTAAAAATAAAAGCAGCTTCACGCTACATGTGTTAAATGTGAGGCCTGAATATTAAATCTAAAAACTGAACTATTATTGGAACCATATTCCAAAAGTCTATAATTTTTACTCAAGAAAGTACTTTACTAGTTAAATGATCTTAGTTAATTATTACGATTAACTGAAAATGAATCATAGGGCAATTAAAAAGTAATATGGTGGCTTGAAGTCTAGGGATGAGAAGGAAGCAGCTGTGGACAAAGCGTGTCAAATGAGTAGCTCAGAAATGACACAAACATCCAAAGCAATAGATTTTCTGAGTAGATATCGATACATACGCAGGTGTATACATTTGCAAAATTATTTTCAATCTTGAATTTTTCTATTAGCTATCAGGTCTTAAGTCTAGAAGCCTGGAATTAGTTTGATGTTTCCAATACGTGAAAGCCTATGGTACCCATTTCTCAGTGCTTTCTCAGGGGATGATTTGCATTTTGAGCTTCATCTGTCAGTGTGCAATGAAAAGCTTATTCCTTTAAGGAGTTTTAACTATCTTTGAAAGTGATTTAGTTCCACATCTACAATTTATTCGATATTGTGGAAAGGACTCTAGACTCAGAGCCAGTGATCTACCACTTACTTGTAAGTTACTCAACCTCTCTAAGCCCATTTCATCCTTTCTTTTAAAAAAAATTATTCTACCAATCCATTACAGCTTCATGAAGATTACATGGAATGATGTAATGAAAAGGCTTTGTCTGTGTTGTGCCATGAAAATGTAGGGAATGGTTTCATTGTTTTGTCAAAGATGCTGACAGAGATAATTAGGGTTAGGGGAGCTTCCAGAATATCCCTAAGTTTTCAGAATGTCCTAGCATCATGGAATACTATGTTCCCATGCTGCTGGGTGCTCCAGTTGGTGTGATAATGTAAGATCCAGAGAATAAAGAATTGGTTCTGCTTTCAGTTAATTCTAATATGCCAATATTGATTCATTAATTATAACAAATACAACAAACTAATATGTTAATAATAGGGGAAACTGTGTGTGTGTTTGTGGAGGGAGGTAAATAGGAACTTTCTGCACTATCTTCATAATTTTTCCATAAACCTAAAACTTTTGAAATTAAAATGTATGTTTATTAAAAATACTTCATAAATACTAAATATTTTAAAATCACATTTTTACAAAGTGTAAAAACGCTTTCAAAAGTCATTAAAGACATTATACTCACTGTACAGTATTTTAGTCAGAATGATATCTGAATATCCCATTGTATTTCATTCCAAATCTTGTGGAATTATGCAAACTATGTATTGAGATACGTATGTATAATCTTCTGAAGAGACAGCAGCCAGTGTTGCCTATAATTTTTATCTTTATTTGCAAATTAAGTCATTTTTATGTAAGGGTTGTGTCAGGTTTGAGATGTTAATAGGAAAAGTGCACTGCTAGAGCTTTGGGAGTTTGCAAAGTTGCAAATCTCAGTATGTGTGTTATTATCAAAGTCATCACTTATACGATTTGTAACATACTGATTAAAAGAGAAAACAAAATAGCAACACTTGGGACGATGTAAAGATCACTTATGAAAAGTGCATTTATATTAAAGAATGACAAATCTCTTCACTGAAAATGTAGTACAAAATAAAAGTAAATATCATTAATAAAACAAAATTTTAAAAAAGAGATGGTTCTAAATGCCCATGTCACAATAGTGGGTATAAAATCCTACTGGTTGCCCAGAGGCCTGCATCCGGCCCCAACCCTCCTTCCTCCCAGGTTGTGTGAGCAGGTGGAGAGGGGATGTAGGCGTGCATGTCAGTGTTCTCACAGAGGGGCACAGGGCTCCATGGGGGGGGAAGGGGGTTCTTTCTGCACCCAGTACTGCCTCTCTATTTATATTGATACTGGTGGGGAAAGAGGCAGGTTGAAATCAAAGTATAAAAATGGAACTACAGAGGGGCTGGCATCCTGATAGGCCTGGAATGGTACATCATGGTCATTGTGTCCCGCTGACCTCCAGCAATAATTCTGACTCTAGAAACAAGAATTTCCAGATTTGCTGCTCTCCTTAAAAAGAATCTTAACTGTGAATGGACATAGCTTATACTCATTTTAGCCAGCTGAAAAAAAGGCCTAGTCAGAATGAGGAAAATTTTCAGTTTGAAGAGAATTTCGTGTTGATGGTTTAGCTAATAGCTCTGATACAGTGACTTTGCTCCTCCAGAAATAGTAAATCAACAAAAAGGAGTAATATCATTGAACTCTGAATTAACACTTTGCTACTATACAAATTACACAAGCTACTCTAGGATTAGAAAGTCATTTTGACAGAATCATTCGAAAATTACTTGGAAGTTGAAGAAGAGTGAGAGCAAGTCTTATTTAATAATTACATTCTTAGTCACCTGACTACTTACCTCTATTAGCAAATGATTATTGCACAAATAACCTCTATTAAGTATTCTCCAAAAATGTCAAAGAAATAAGTTTATTGAAGTCTATAAGCTTATATTTATCTGTCAAATAACCAGCAATATTCAGGAAATGGGTCATTGCATAAGAAGAGAAACCAAACCCAGTGTGGCAAGAATAAAGCTAGAAGGGGGGCCTTACACCCAAGGCCAAGCACCATTCTGTTGAACTTACTGGTCATATATGTGCTTGGTTTGCTCATTTCATTCACTTGGGATCCGGGGTCCAAAAGATCATCTGTGCAGCCCTATCACAGTCATCAAAAGAACCCAGAGGTTGCTTCAGAACTCACAAAGCTACCTCATGAGCAAAGACAACTAGAGAGGGTAAAGCACCTGATTTCCTTGTCCAGTCTTGCTCGTTGAGTTATTTGCCACGTCAAGAAACAACTCAGATGACTTACTGTGACTGAAAGCAAGTCAGAAATTGCTGGACAATTCTTACCTAAAACTGATGTTTAAAGACTACTATTCACCCATAACCAAATAATTCACAGTGTTTGGGGGAGGTCTAATTCCTTAAAGGCAGCTTTGGAGTGAAAAGAATTTTAACTCATTCTAAATTTAAAGAATAAGTATCTCTTACATAATGCCATGCTTCAAAGTAGGTGAGTGTGAGACAGAATTTTTTTTAAAATACCTTAAACTTTGTACCTTTTGACCCGCTTCACTTACTTCACTCACCCCTCACATCTGCCTCTGGCAAACATTCTGTTCTGTATATCTATGTGCTTGGTTTTTTATTTACTTATTTATCTTTTAGACTCCACATATAAATGAGATCATACGATACTGGTCTTTCTCTGTCCAACTTATTTCAGTTTGCATAATGCCTTCAAGATCCATCAAAGTTGTTACAAGTGGCATGTAGTCACTCTTTTACATGGCTGAATAAAATATCACTTCTTCTTTATCCATTCATCTGGACACTTCAGTTGTTTACATACCTTGGCTATTATAAAGAACGCTGCAATAAACATAGGGGTGGATGTGTCTTTTCCAGTTAGTGTTTTTGTTTTCTTCAGGTAAATACTTAGAAGCAAAATTGCTGGCTCATATGGTAGTTCTATTTTTAGTTTTAGTTTTGAGGAGCTTCCATT